CTCTGTGAGCGTGCTTTCTGTCTATGTGAGATGCTTTCTATCTCTGTGAGCGTGCTTTCTGTCTCTGTGAGCGTGCTTTCTGTCTCTGAGCATGCTTTCTGTCTCTGTGAGCGTGCTTTCTGTCTCTGAGCGTGCTTTCTGTCTCTGTGAGCGTGCTTTCTGTCTCTGAGCGTGCTTTCTGTCTCTGTGAGCGTGCTTTCTGTTTCTGAGCGTGCTTTCTGTCTCTGTGAGCGTGCTTTCTGTCTCTGAGCGTGCTTTCTGTTTCTGAGCGTGCTTTCTGTCTATGTGAGATGCTTTCTATCTCTGTGAGCGTGCTTTCTGTCTCTGTGAGCGTGCTTTCTGTCTCTGAGCGTGCTTTTTGTCTCTGTGAGCGTGCTTTCTGTCTCTGAGCGTGCTTTCTGTCTATGTGAGCGTGCTTTCTGTCTCTGAGCGTGCTTTCTGTCTCTGTGAGCGTGCTTTCTGTCTCTGAGCATGCTTTCTGTCTCTGTGACGTGCTTTCTGAGCTTCTTCGCGGCCCCTCCTGTGAGAGGGGCTCACAGTGCTGCCCCTTTGCTGCTGGCTTATCTCCCTGAGCAGAGTGTCTGCGAGGCCGTCCCCGGCAGCGGGGTTAGAGTCCCCCTCTTGGTGTGCACCGACCGCGGCTGTTTATTGGCGCCTACGGACAGACATCGTGCGGCTTCCACGTGTTTGCTGCTGTGAATTACGGTGTTATGAACATGGCTCTAGAAATACCTTTTAGAGAACTTGCTTTCAATTCTTATGGGTGGATACCCAGAAGCAGAATTGCTGGATCATTTGCTAGTTCTGTCTCAGTTTTCTGAGGACCCTTCCACACTGCTTTCCACAGCGCCTGCACCGTTTTACTTTGCTAACACCAAGCTGGTATGCTAACATCTCCAGGTCCTCGCCAAAATGTGCCATTTGTTTGTTTGTTTGTTTATATTTTTATGGTATCCATCCTAATGGGTGAGGTGGTGTCAGGTTCACTTTCTAACCCAGTGGTCAGCAAACTCATTAGGCAGCAGAGCCAAATACCAACAGGACAACGATTGAAATTTCTTCTGAGAGCCACATTTTTTAAACTGAAACTTCTTCTAATACCATTTCTTCAAAACAGACTCACCTAGGCCATGGTATTTTGTGGAAGAGCCACACTCAAGGGGCCGAAGAGCCGCATGTGGCTCGAGAGCTGCAGTTTGCTGACCATGGTTCTAACCTAAGACCACAATTCTGTGCCTCTCACGATGACTTAGTGAGCCCTGGGGAAAGTCTCAGGAGGGAGGCAGAGAGTGGGCTTGGGGGGAGTGGGTACCTCCAGCTCAGCTACTTGTCCCAAACCCTGGGCCCCCGCAGAGTAGGGCCAGGGGGTGGGCGCACAGGGCGGCCACTGCTGGGAGACAGCTCTGGCAGGAACTGCCCGGCACTGCCTCCCCCTGTACCTCCAAAGGCCCCACACGCTCTCGGGCGAGCAGAACGCTGATCGGTCTGCTCATCGCCGTCAGGCGGGAGAAGACGGGCACTGAGTCGCGGGAAAGGCTGTAAGTGGATGGAATCAATTTTAGATCTTGTTGGAGCTACTCAGCTGCTATGGAAATAGAGCAAGAAAAATTACTTTAAACAAACCCCAGGGCGCCTGGCCACAGCTCCTCTGTGCCCTGGCTTCAGCTGCCTTCCCTCCTGCCCCCGAGGACTCGGAGTCAGCTCGGATTGAACCGGAGACAGCTCCTCAGGGAGTCCTCCTTAAGGGCCATGCAGCAGAACCCTGCCCTAGCCGGTGTGGCTCAGGGATAGAGCGTCGGCCTGCGGACTGAAGGGCCCCAGGTTCAATGCCAGTCAGGGCCCCAGCGTAGGGCGTGCAGGAGGCAGCCGATCAATGATTCTCTCATTATTGATGTTTCTATCTCTCTCTCCCCCTCTCCCTTCCTCTCTGAAATCAATAAAAAATAAATATATTTTTTAAAAATCATGCAGAATCCGGTACCAGCCTCTCTGTCTAGACGTAATCACGCTTGGCCTGTTTTTGCTGACTGTCTGGGACTCAGAGAACAGAGACGAGGAGCTCTGCAAATGCAGTGAGACCAGGACTGAGACCAAGGGCGCTGGTCACCCCTCTCTAAGCCCGAAGCACAGGCATGCGGCTCCCGCCTCCGGGGCCCGCCTGGCCCAGGAGCCCAGGCCCCAGACGCTGAACAAGGAGCCGGTCCTGCCCGGGTGCCAGGCGGGGGCCCTGCCTTCCTGCTGGGAGGGAGCTCTCTGCTGCTGCTCGGGCTGGGGTCTGGGAGGCGGGTCCCCTCAGGCCCAGAAGCGTGAACTGCCGCCGTGGTCACGGGGGCGCTGGTGGGAGGGGGCCGGGGGGGGAGGACAGGACCGCTGGCTGGTCGCGTTTCACCTGCGGGCCGGCAGCGTCTGGGCGTGCTCACAGCGCTATGCTTTGGGATACTTTTCCCCCAAGCTCTGAGCTTCTGGAAGATTCTCCTCCGGGATGATTTAAAGCCTAACTGTGGCCTGTGTTGGGGGGTGTGGCTCCCAGGGCCATGAGGAAATGGCCTGGGGTTCAGAGGGTGTTCAGGGCTGACCGTGGCGACAGCTGCTGTAACATGTCTGTCCCCAAAGAGCAGCTCAGCCGCTGGCGGGAGGCGGAGGCCGGCGCGCCCGGAGCAGCCGCGGAGGCGGCCAGGGCGATGGGACGGGGGCCAGGGGCGCTCACGGTGAGGAAAGGGGGCGCTGCCCCACCTGGGCTCCTCTGATTCTCCCAGACCCTGAGGACGGAGTCCCAGAGGCGACAGCACCTGCTGCGGGCTGGCCTGCAGGTGGACCCAGACCAGAGCTGTGTCTCCCCCGCCCCCACCTCCCTCACCTCCTGACTGGCCAGTCTGCCACGCTCTGCCCAGGGTCCCTCCTTGGTGGCAAGGAGCCTAGCACATGACTAGTTAGATGTAATTTCACCTTCAAGATCACCCACTTACGTTTCATCTGCTGCCAGCTCGCATGCTAATAACATTTAAAAAGGAATTCCAGGTATTTCCTGAAAAACTCATTCTGCAGGAAATACCAGCCTGGCAGTGACATCAAACACTCACTGCAGACCTCTGTCCACAGAATCCCCCCGGAGTGTCTGCCGCCCGGGGGCCTGTGCGGGGGAGGACGACAGCCCAGCTTTGGGGTGCCAGGCGCCGCTGTACCAAATGCCACGCGGTACACAACGTGGTGTGGCTGCCCGCGGCCCCTCAGCCGCACTGCGCCTGGGCACTGCCAGGCACACAACCCATCACTGTGTCCTCAAATCCACACTCCGAAGGTTATTTCCATTTAGCCGTAAAGGCTCAGGTTTGATTTCCTACGAAGCTAGAGGACTGTTCATGTTGCCCAAGAACTGATAAAGGCCCAGAATGCTCTGGTGCGGAGAAGGACGAGGTCGGCCCTGCCAGCACTCTGCTGGGCTCGCTCCCGAGTGAACGGACTGAGAAACAGGGGTCTCTGTGCTGTGACCCCACAGACACAGGGCACTGCGTGTCCGACGATGCTCTGTGATGGAGAGGCCCCCCCCAAACACACAGGTCATGTGTGGCCCCGAGGCTGGGAACACGGAGGCCGGGGGACACTGAGGCCGGGGGACATGGAGGCCGGGGGCCACTGAGGCTGGGACACGGAGATTGGGACACGGAGGCTGGGGCACTGAGGCAGGGGGACACGAAGGCTGGGACACGGAGGCTAGGGGACACGGAGGGTGAGGGACACTGAGGCTGGGGGACACTGAGGTCGGGGGACACGAAGGTCGGGGGACACGGAGGCTGGGGGACACGGAGGCTGGGACACTGAGGCAGGGGGACACTGAGGCAGGGGGACACTGAGGCTGGGGGACACAGAGGCTGGAGGACACAGAGGTTGGGACACGGAGGCTGGGACACGGAGGCTGGGGGACACGGAGGCTGGGACACGGAGGCTGGGGGACACGGAGGCTGGGACACGGAGGCTGGGGGACACGGAGGCTGGGACACGGAGGCTGGGGGACACGGAGGCTGGGACACGGAGGCTGGGGGACACGGAGGGTGAGGGACACTGAGGCTGGGGGACACTGAGGTCGGGGGACATGAAGGCCAGGGGACACGGAGGCAGGGGGACACTGAGGCTGGGGGACACGGAGGGTGGAACACGGAGGCTGGGGACACGGAGGCTGGGGGACACGGAGGGTGAGGGACACTGAGGCAGGGGGACACTGAGGTCGGGGGACATGAAGGCCAGGGGACACGGAGGCAGGGACACTGAGGCAGGGGGACACTGAGGCTGGAGGACACAGAGGTTGGGACACGGAGGCTGGGGCACTGAGGTGGGGACACGGACGCTGGGGCACTGAGGTCAGGCAGCCTCTCCTGCGGGGCCATCTCCCCGCTGCCTGCTACCAGCACCACACCCTCCCCGTCCCCGCCCGACCAGTCCCCACTGTCCTCCACTCAGATGCCACCGCCGGGACCAGGTCCCTTTGCTGACGCTCCCTCCGCCCAGTGTCAGGCCAGCCGAGAGGGACAAAGGCGCTCCCTCCCGGCCTGGCCATCTGCTCACAGGAAGGACGCGGCGCAGAGCCCGTCTCAGGTCCCCCATCAGAAAGCACGCGAGCAGGCCCGTCGCCTGGGAGACCGGCCTCTGCCCCCGGAGTGAGAGCAGCGCCAGCGGCGGCGCCGTGACCCGCTCCGGGAGGCCTCCCTGCCCGAGCCCGGCCACCACTCGGCCTCGCCCGGCCCCGCGGCCCAGCCTCCGCCATGCGGTGCGGGTGCGGGGACCGGGCGGCGGTACTTGCCTTCACGGCCTGCCGGGCTGTGCGGGTGCGGGTGCGGGTGCGGGTGCGGGCACCAGGGGGCGGTACTTGCCTTCACGGCCTGCCGGGCTGTGCGGGTGCGGGTGCGGGTGCGGGTGCGGGCACCAGGGGGCGGTACTTGCCTTCACGGCCGTGCCGGGCTGTGCGGGTGCGGGTGCGGGTGCGGGCACCAGGGGGCGGTACTTGCCTTCACGGCCGTGCCGGGCCCGGCCTCGGGCAGCAGGGACAGCTCTGGGGGGCTCCGGGGCAGCCCGTCGTCCTCGGAGCTCATGCCGGGGTCCTCGCCCCGCTTGGCGGGGAGGCCCCCGGGCGGGGGCGGCCCCATGTTCACGTGGCACTGTATCTTCAACTGGGGTGGAAAAAAGAACACGTGCTCTTGTTTTCATCAGGACTTTATCGACAAACTCTCCCTCCCCAATCCATTCATTCATTCAGGAGACAGGTCAGCGCCTGGCCGGGGGGCAGAGGGCTGGACGGAGCACGCCGGCCTGCCTGCCATCCCTCCGCTGCCACCCTCAGCTGTCCTCCCCCCGCTGTCCTCCCACTGCTGTCCTCCCACTGCTGCCACCCCTCCTCTGTCACCCTCCGCCGTCCTCCCTCCGCTGTCACCCTCCGCCGTCCTCCCTCCGCTGCCACCCTCCGCTGTCCTCCCTCCGCTGTCCTCCCTCCGCTGTCCTCCCTCCGCTGTCACCCTCCGCCGTCCTCCCTCCGCTGCCACCCTCAGCTGTCCTCCCCCGCTGTCCTCCCTCCGCTGTCCTCCCACTGCTGTCCTCCCACTGCTGCCACCCCTCCGCTGTCCTCCCTCCGCCGTCCTCCCCCCGCTGTCACCCCCCGCTGTCCTCCCACTGCTGCCACCCCTCAGCTGTCCTCCCCCCGCCGCCCTCCCCCCGCCGCCCTCCCCCCGTCGACCTCCCTCCGCTATCCTCCCTCTGCTGTCCTCCCTCCGCTGTCCTCCCTCCGCTGTCCTCCCTCTGCTGTCCTCCCTCCGCTGTCCTCCCACTGCTGTCCTCCCACTGCTGCCACCCCTTCACTGTCCTCCCTCCGCTGTCCTCCCTCCGCTGTCCTCCCTCTGCTGTCCTCCCTCCGCTGTCACCCTTTGCCGTCCTCCCCCCGCTGTCCTCCCCCCGCTGTCCTCCCTCCGCTGTCCCCCCGCTGTCCTCCCTCCTCTGTCCTCCCTCCGCTGTCTCCCTCGCCGTCCTCCCCGCCGTCCCTCCCTCCCGCTGTCCTCCCCCCCGCTGTCCTCCTCCTGTCCTCCGCTGTCACCCTTTGCCGTCCTCCCCCCGCTGTCTCCCCCCCGCGTCCTCCCGCCTCGCTGTCTCCCTCCGCTGTCCTCCCTCCGCTGTCCCTCCGCGTCTCCCTCGCTGTCCTCCCCCCGCTGTCTCCCCCGCTGTCCCCTCCGCGTCCCCCCCGCTGTCCTCCCTCCTCTGTCACCCTTCGCCGTCCTCCCCCCGCTGTCCTCCCCCCCGCTGTCCTCCCCCCGCTGTCCTCCCTCCGCCGTCCTCCCTCCGCCGTCCTCCCCCCCGCTGTCCTCCCTCCTCTGTCACCCTCCGCTGTCCTCCCTCCGCGGTCCTCCCCCCTCTGTCACCCTCCGCTGTCCCCCCGCTGTCCTCCCTCCTCTGTCACCCTCCGCTGTCCTCCCTCCGCCGTCCTCCCCCCGCTGTCCTCCCCCCCGCTGTCCTCCCTCCTCTGTCACCCTCCGCCGTCCTCCCTCCGCTGTCACCCTCCGCTGTCCTCCCTCCGCCGTCCTCCCCCCGCCGTCCTCCCTCCGCTGTCACCCTCCGCTGTCACCCTCCACCGTCCTCCCTCCGCCGTCCTCCCTCCGCCGTCCTCCCCCCCGCTGTCCTCCCTCCGCTGTCCTCCCTCCGCCGTCCTCCCCCCGCCGTCCTCCCTCCGCCGTCCTCCCTCCGCTGTCCTCCCTCCGCCGTCCTCCCCCCGCCGTCCTCCCTCCGCTGTCACCCTCTGCCGTCCTCCCTGCGCCGTCCTCCCCCCGCCGTCCTCCCCCCCGCTGTCCTCCCTCCTCTGTCACCCTCCGCTGTCCTCCCTCCGCCGTCCTCCCCCCGCCGTCCTCCCCCCGCCGTCCTCCCCCCGCCGTCCTCCCCCCGCCGTCCTCCCCCCCGCTGTCCTCCCTCCTCTGTCACCCTCCGCTGTCCTCCCTCCGCCGTCCTCCCCCCGCCGTCCTCCCTCCGCCGTCCTCCCCCCGCCGTCCTCCCTCCGCTGTCCTCCCTCCGCCGTCCTCCCCCCGCCGTCCTCCCTCCGCTGTCACCCTCTGCCGTCCTCCCTCCGCCGTCCTACCCCCGCCGTCCTCCCCCCCGCTGTCCTCCCTCCTCTGTCACCCTCCGCTGTCCTCCCTCCGCTGTCACCCTCCGCTGTCCTCCCTCCGCTGTCACCCTCCGATGTCCTCCCTCCGCCGTCCTCCCCCCGCTGTCCTCCCTCCGCCGTCCTCCCCCCGCTGTCCTCCCTCCTCTGTCACCCTCCGCTGTCACCCTCCGCCGTCCTCCCTCCGCTCCGCCGTCCTCCCCCTGCTGTCCTCCCTCCGCTGTCACCCTCCGCTGTCCTCCCTCCGCCGTCCTCTCTCTGCCGTCCTCCCTCCGCCGTCCTCCCCCCGCCGTCCTCCCTCCGCCGTCCTCCCCCCGCTGTCCTCCCTCCTCTGTCACCCTCCGCTGTCACCCTCCGCCGTCCTCCCCCCGCCGTCCTCTCTCTGCCGTCCTCCCTCCGCCGTCCTCCCCCCGCCGTCCTCCCTCCGCTGTCACCCTCCGCTGTCCTCCCTCCGCCATCCTCTCTCTGCCGTCCTCCCTCCGCCGTCCTCCCCCCGCCGTCCTCCCTCCGCCGTCCTCCCCCCGCCGTCCTCCCTCCGCTGTCACCCTCCGCTGTCCTCCCTCCGCCGTCCTCCCTCCGCCGTCCTCCCTCCGCCGTCCTCCCCCCGCCGTCCTCCCTCCGCTGTCACCCTCCGCTGCCACCTCGAAAACGAGCCGTCACCAGGCAGACGCGCCAGGACCCAGCGGCCACTGCCTGGGTGTCCTGGGGAAGTTGCGAAGTGCACGCGATCGCACTGTAAAGGTGGCCAGTAGGCCCCAGGGGTTTAGAACGTCTCGGTCTGTATCTGACATGCGCACCGAGGGCGGCCGCGAGCAGCTCACCTGCAGAGCCTTGATCCGGTCGCACACGTTCTCCTGGGAGAACACCCGCACAGGCCGCGCGGGGTCCGGTCCGGACTCCGGGATGAAGATGCTGTCGTGCGAGAGGGCCCGGCCGCCCAGCGCGCCCCGGGCCTCCCTAGGAGGGAGAGCCGCCATGAGACCGTGCCCGGGAGAAGAGCTGCACTCTGTGGGCCTGCGCACAGTGGGCCTGCGCACAGCGGGCCTGCGCACAGCGGGCCTGCACTCTGTGGGCCTGCACTCTGTGGGCCTGCGCACAGCGGGCCTGCACACAGCGGGCCTGCACTCTGTGGGCCTGCACTCTGTGGGCCTGTGCACAGCGGGCCTGCACACAGTGGGCCTGCACTCTGAGGGCCTGCACACAGCGGGCCTGCACACAGTGGCCCTGCACACAGCGGGCACGCACTCTGTGGGCCTGCGCACAGTGGGCCTGCACACAGCGGGCCTGCACACAGCGGGCATGCACTCTGTGGGCCTGCACACAGCGGGCCTGCACACAGTGGCCCTGCGCACAGCGGGCCTGCACACAGCGGGCCTGCACTCTGTGCATCTGCACTCTGTGGGCCTGCACACAGCGGGCCTGCACACAGTGGGCCTGCACTCTGTGCATCTGCACTCTGTGGGCCTGCGCACAGCGGGCCTGCGCACAGCGGGCCTGCGCACAGCAGGCATGCACTCTGTGGGCCTGTGCACAGTGGGCCTGCGCACAGTGGGCCTGCACACAGCGGGCCTGCACACAGTGGGCTTTCACACAGCAGGCCTGCACACAGCGGGCCTGCACACAGTGGGCCTGCACACAGCGGGCCTGCACACAGTGGGCCTGCACTCTGTGGGCCTGCACTCTGTGGGCCTGCACACAGCGGGCCTGCGCACAGCGGGCCTGCACACAGTGGGCCTACACTCTGTGGGCCTGCACACAGCGGGCCTGCACACAGCGGGCCTGTGCACAGTGGTCCTGTGCACAGTGGGCCCGTGGCTGGTGCGTGTTCTATTTGCCCCTGACTGTAGTTCATCTCCACCCTGTCAGACACCATCAGCTACTAGGAACGTCACAGAGATAGAAGCTGCCCTCACAGATCTGACGTTTGTGTGATGCTTTTTTATTCATGGAAACACCAAGGCCTGCCCAGGTGTGAGGTCCCACACGGGGGCCTTGGCTGCTTGCTGCGCTGCCCGGAGGGTGAGGCCACTCCTGGGGGCGGATGCAGCGGCTGGGCGGGCCGGAGGCCGTGTTTGCACAGCAGGTGGAGGGCCTGCCCGCTCAGGGGGCTCAAGGTCACCCCGAGCCGGCTGTGAGGTGACACTGCCCATCCGCAGAGCCACTCTGTCCCCCGGCAGGATCCGTGCAGGCAGCCTGAGCACCCAGGCCCCGGCCCAGCCCCTGCCCTAGCCCTGGGCTCCCATTGGACCGGAGCCCACAGCACAGTCACAGAGAGTCCAGAGGATGTGGGAGTCAGCGCTGGGCTTTCCGAGCGGCAGTGCGGCTGAACAATAGGTGGAAGGAGGTGAATGAGACCCGATGGCGAAGGCAGGAAAGCCCACCCAGCAGACGCTGGCCGTCTGCACACCACGGCCCCACCGCCCGCCCGCAGCCTGTCCCAGGAGCCAGCGGGCTGAGGTGCGGCCCTGCTCTCCTGCAGACCAGACTGTGCTGGTTGATGATCTAACTTGCTTCCAGCCGGCAACAGCCAGTCCGCCAGGGGGGACCCACGGCTCCCAGAGGGCGTGTCCTCACATTTCTGGGAGGGCCCAGGGCCAAGGGCAAGCACCAGGCGGCCCTCCCACCCACGGCGGCCCTGGCCACAGAGCTCTCAGGACACCTGGCTTCCCTCCACCGGAGCTGGGCCACACCCTGGTAACCAGATGGCTGCACCACCTCCACCCGGGCGGAACCGGGAGTTGAGGCGGCATGAAAGGCCCACAGTGACACACTGGCAGAAGCACAAGGCCTTTCCCTGCAGCAGCATTTATGGGAGCAAAGGCCGGAAGCACCCCAAGTGTCCTCAGGAGGAAAACATGACACGCTGCAGGCCTCAGCGGACCGTCGGGCGAGGAGGGTCCCGGTGAACGGCATTGGGTGGCACCGTCCGCACTAAGGGAGTAACACACAGTGCTAGCTCGGGGTGGGGAAGGGGTGTGAATGTATATGGACACAGTGAACCTGTGTGCGTATTTGCTTATATATATATATTTTAAAAATTTTATTGATTTTTTACAGAGAGGAAGGGAAAGGGATAGAGAGTTAGAAACATCAATCAGCTGCCTCCTGCACACCCCTGATGGGGATGTGCCTGCAACCAAGGTACATGCCTTTGACCAGAATCAAACCTGGGACCCTTCAGTCCGCAGGCCAACACTCTATCTACTGAGCCAAACTGCTTAGGGCAGCTTATATTTTTAAAGGCTGGTTCTGCTCAGTGGGTAGAGCATCGGCCTGTGGGCCACAGGGCCCAGGCTTGGATTCTGGTTAAGGGCATGCACCTCGATTGCAGGGTCCTCCCTGGCCTGGGCCCTGGGCGGGGCAGGTGCAGGAGGCAACCAATCGATGTGTTTCTCTCACATCGACATTTCTCTCTGCCTTTCCTTTTCTCTTCTACTCTCTCTAAAACTCAATGGAAAAATACCCCCCCCAAAGAAAAAGCAAAGCAAAACAAAACAACAAAAACAACAACAACGCGCCACAAAAGGATAAGTAGCAAATTAATAAAATGACTTCCTGGGGGAAGGGCAGAACAAGGGGGAGACAGGGTGCCACGGGACCTACAGGTAGAGTTTTGCCTTTGAAACATGTAAATGTTTTACGTAGTTAAGAGACAAAATCAAACAAAGAAGGAAATAAAACAATCTCTCCAACTAGATAACAACCTGGAACAAGCAACACTTTATATCAGCTTATTGGCGGAGCCACCCAGAGAAAGTGATTCTGAGTGACTTTAACTCCACTTCCAAGTGACTTTTGACTCTACATCTGTAACAGGACAAATCCTAAGAACAAAACCACAAAGATATCAGATTGCCCTTGGTAGTCTTATTAGTAGCAACACTGACTTAAAAACACAGTACAGAACAGTCTTTACAGTATCTAACAACCTTTGCTGGGAGAGGAGAGCAATAAATTATTATAAGTATATTGTACAATGAAGAAAAGGAGAAATGTTGTTAATATCATTATGAACCAAGATATCCAGTATAAGAGAAAAATAAATTCAAATTAAAAAATCCAAAAAGTAAAATGTGTATCCTATTACATTTAAACTGTGAATATCAGTGAATTACTAATTTATTTTTCCTCTTAAAAAATAAAGCCTCTTTCCCAGGTATCTGTGCTGGGAAGGTCTAAAAGCAAGGACAGCCCCCTACCTGGCCATCATCACCCCTGGCAACCAGCCTGCGGTCTCCAAAGCCATCCACACGGAGAGGAAGCGGAGCCAGTGAAGAAACGGCGGGCACGGGTCTGGGGAGGAAATGTGCCAACCCCCTGAGATTTCTCACTGCGGGAGAGCAAAGCAGCTTTCGAACACACGGGCTCTGGGGAAGGCACCGGAGCGGCCGTGGCCTGCCTGGCTGGCCGGCTGACCACTGTCCTGTGCGCTGAAAGGTTGCCAGTTCCGTGTCCGGTCAGGGCACATACCCACGTTGTGGGTTTGATCCCTTGTTGGGGTGCATACAGGAGCAACTGATCAATGTTTCTCTCTCTCTCCTTGCCTCTCTTAAAAAAAAATCAATAAAAACATCAAAAAAAAAAGAAAAAGAAAAAGAACCCGGGAGTTCATTTGAAGACACTCCCATGGGACGCCAAGATGAATAAAGCCAATCAAATATGTAAAAATCTATGCCTTAATAATAATGGCCCCTGAGGGTCATTATGCCTCTGAAGAGTTTTATCCTCAAGTGAAGGGCCAATGTCGTTTAAAAGAAAACATAAAAGTTGGCATGGAAACAAATCTGTGGTGTGTTTTTTTACCCTTTTTATTCACATATATAATTGCTGGAATAACTGAGCATATATATTGCAACTATACTTTGGTGAAATACAAGTCATTAATATTCAAGAAAAAACAAAATTCATTGATCAGTATTGGAAGAGGACAGGGTACCAGGTCACCACTCTGAAGGTGGATCAATAAAAGGATCAGTATTTAAGCATCACTCTGCCCTTCCTGTACAAACTCTACTTGAGAGCCACCGAGGAGCTGATTGAGTAAAGAAAAGGTCTTCATAGAAGAGCTGGTGACCAGTGCACAGATTTGTGCACACTGAAAGGAAATTAATTGGAAGGTGGCCGGTGGTGCGGGACCGGGACTGGGCAAGACGGGCTGGACACGCTCTGGAGCCAACCTCCGGGGTCCCTCCCCAGCGTCTGCAGGGTGAGCGGGGTTCCGCTGGCAGGTGGGGTCCCTCAGCCTGGCCTGTGGGGACTGGGCTGAAACTGGCGCTCCAACACCCCCTGAGGAGTCCTGGAGTGTGAGAGTGCACGCACTCTGTAAAGTTGCTGTCTACGGGTTGTGGAATGCAAACACAAGTGCGCAGTAAACCAGATTTGGGGCCAACAGTGCCCCAGCAACAACATAACTCACAGCCAAAGGTGGAATCACCAGGCCCCGTAAGGAATCGGGCTTCCTCTCTGGTTTCGGGGTGTGTCACCCAGAACCATTGCTGCCAAGTCACTGCAGCTCGGCAGCTCCTGTGTTGAGCATCTGCCCCCTGGTGATCAGTGCGTATCATAGCAAGAGTTGGCATATTAGCCATACACACGCACACACACACACACACACACACATACTAGAGGCCTGGTGCACGGAATTCGTGCATGGGGGGAAGAGGTCCCTCAGCCCAGCCTGCACCCTGTCCGATCTGGAACTCCTTGAGGGATGTCCGACTGCCCATTTAAGCCTGATCCTGAAACAGGCAGTCGGACATCCCTCTCACAATCCAGGACTGCTGGCTCCCATCTGCTCACTTGCCTGATTGCCCCTAACTGCTTCTGCCTGCCATCCTGATCACCCCCTAACCCACTCCCCTGCCAGCCTGATAGATATAACTGCTCTGCTGCAGCCTGATTGCCTCTAACTTCCCTCCCCTACAGGCCTGGTTGCCTCCAATTGCCCTCCCCTGATGGCCTGGTAACCCTAACTGCCCTCCCTTGCCAGCCTGGTTGCCCCCAACTGCCCTTCCCTGTAGGCCTGGTCACCCCCAAATGTCCACCCCTGCAGGCCTGATCCCTCCCAACTGCCCTCCCCTGCAGGCCTGGTGCCCCCCAACTGCACTCCATTGCATGCCTGATTGCCCCTAACTGCCCTCCCCTGCAGGCCTGATCCCCCCCCAACTGCCCTCCCCTGCAGGCCTGGTGCCCCCCAACTGCCCTCCGTTGCATGCCTGATTGCCCCTATCTGCCCTCCCTTGCAGGCCTGGGTCTCTCCCAACTGCTCTCCCCTACAGGGCTGGTCCCCTCCAACTGCCCTCCCCTGCGAAACCTGATTGCCCCCAACTGCCCTCCCCTATAGGCCTGATTACCCCCAACTGTCCTCCCCTGCAGGCCTGGTCCCCCCCAATTGCCCTCCCCTGCAGGCCTGGTTCCCCTCAACTGCCCTCCCCTACAGGCCTCGTCCCCCCAACTGCCCTCCCCTGCAGGCCTGGTCCCCCCCTACTGCCCTCCCCTGATGGCCTGGTCCCTCCCTACTGCCCTCCCCTGCTGGCCTGATTGCCCCCACCTGCCCTCCTCTGCAGGCCTGGTCATCCCCAACTGCCCTCCTCTGCTGGCCTGACCACCCACAACTTCCCACTCCTGCTGGCCATCTTATGTCCACATGGGGGCAGCCATCTTGTGTGTTGGAGTGATGGTCAATTTGCATATCACTCTTTTATTAGATAGGATATAGATTCCAGCTGACTCATGCAGGATAAATGGCACAATTAGAAAAACCACCATTTTGCAATGAAATGGTGGGTCTGGGCAATGACCCTCAGCGGGCGTTAAAACCATCAGGTGAAGATGAGTGGAGGAATCGCTCTGGGAACCCCTGCCCCCACTGCTCAGTCTTGGTCATGGAAGTGGGACAACCAGGAAGCATGTGCCTGTGAAGTGACAGCAAGTATCCAGGTCCACCTCAATCTACGTCGTATCTCACTCTACCTAACACTTCCCAAGAGCTCGGAGACTACAGGAATGAGTCGGGCTGTGCCAAGAGAAAGCAAAGCCAGAATGTGGGATGCTCTGCAGAGCAACTGATTCTGCTCTTGCAGCAGATCAGCGACCCGAAACCAAGGGGCTGAGGGCAGCTACAGGTGAGGAGCCTTAAGAGGCAAAACCACACAGTAAATGGGTGTCTACTCCTCAAACCCACAGGCTCCCACAGACTTTGCCAGCAGCGATGTGTCCTGGCAGGTGGCACCCCCTGGCCGCGGTGATGGTGAGAAGTTGCTCAGGTCCGGAAGACACGCCGACTCTCGCCGTGGCTAAGAGTGCCTTTAGGACCTTGCCTGTCCTCCACGCTGCTCTCTAAAAACATGACTTCACTTCCAGAGCTTCCTCACACTCCACCCTCAGCTTCCTTTCCTGGCATCCACCCAGCGGACTATGACCAGTGAGTGAGGACCCTGCTAGGTGCGGGCACAGGGAGGTGAAAGGGGCGCAGTCCCACCCCCCACGGGCTCTGGTGATAGAGACGGACAACTGGACAGGCTAGTGCACCCCAGCTGGCCCCTCCTGCTACGGGCTGTTCCATGGCTGGGGGTAGGGGGTCGTACTCCCAGGCCTGTCTTCCCAACACCAGGCCTGTGTGCCAGTCAGGAGGGCTGTGTGAGGTACGTGACCAGTTCCCTGCGGCTGGCCCAGAGACCTGCAATACTTAGCAATGTTACCATGACGATGTCTTCCCCCGAGTTTGGAGCCCACCGCCTGCAACACCTATCTCAGCCCATCGTCTCCGCCCTCATGGGGGCAAGCGTGCTCACTGCCAGCAGGAAGAAACAAACAAGCAACCGGAGAACCACAGCCTTTCCTCTTCAGCCATTTGGTGCCACCAGGTGGCCAGTGTGAGTTCCACTCTGCTAGCCGCTGGGGAGGAGCCGGGAGGAGGAGGTGGGCAGGACGCATCCCTGGGCCCTGACAGTGACCCCACCTCAGCGTGGTCTGTTCTCTGGCCCAAGGCTCATTGTGCCTCTGAAGAGTTTTACCTCAAGCTAAGGGCCAAAGTTGTTTAAAAGAAAACATAAAAGTTGGCGTGACAACAAGCCTGTGTGTTTCGCCGCCCCACTTTTTACTCATAGATGTAGCTGCTGGAATAACTGAGTATATATATTACAACTATATTTTGGTGAAAGGCAAGTTATAAAAATAGGTAGACTTCCCCAAATTGTCCTAATATTGAGTCTGTTCTGCCTCATAATATTTCTGGATGATTTTTCTAAGATGGAACAGCAAAAAGTGCCCCGCTCCTTCTTTCTTGTCTCTGTTCTCTCTCTCTCTCTCTCTCTCTCTCTCTCTCTCTCTCTCTCTCTCTCTCTCTCTTCTCTCTCTCTCTCAAAGCTTTCTTATTAGATTACTCAAAGTTCAAGCTTAAACAGATGTACTTCCTAGTATAGTATCCACATCCTCAAAAGAATTTTAGGTCAAATTAAATCGGCTCATATCCCAATATTGCTAATTTCAGCTGTAGCATACTGGGCAACTTCTCCAAAATGTTGCTGAAGCCTGGTTTGCTCACTTATAAAACGGCATGTCTTACCTCCTGCCCCACAGTTTTTGTAGAATTTTAATATGTGCAGCACCTGACACACAGCAGGTACCTAATGATCCCCCGCAACTTTCTCCGCGTGTGAAAAGACAGAAAGCACGGCTTCCGTGGGAGAGTGTGCTGTGGAATCACCAGGAAGAAAGCAGGCTCAGACACCCAGCACGTCACCATGACAACGACACAGCAGCCAGGCCCCCGCGCCCGCCTGAGGGATGTGAGAGCCACTTACTCGAGCTCATCCTCCGAGTCGTAGCCCACGGGCCCTGCCTCGATGGCGATGACCTCGCTCTTCGCCTGACTCTGCTTCCAGGTGCTGCCTCCGGAGGAGGAGGGCGGGTCCTTCCTCTTCTTCTTGCCGAAGAGCTTCTTAAACGTTTTGAACTTGGACTTTTTCTTTCCTGTGCAGAAGGAATGGCCGTGAGTGCTGACCGAGCCGGCGTGAGGCGTGCAGAGGGGAGGAAGCAAGATCGCTGTCCAGGCACCAAGCTATTCTCTCCTCGGCGGCCCGTCTGCCGCACGGCAGGGCCTGCAGCCCCTGGCATCCGTTTCCGGACCCCTGGAAACAGGTCTTGATTTCTGCCTATTTGGGGCACTTAATGAAAGGGCCGAGGAAGCGCTGTAGTGCGATCACAGCATTGAAGCTGAAATCAAGGTTTAATCTCTGTCTCAGACAGGGTCAAAAGCAGAGAGTCCTGAGGAGGAAGAGACCATGTCAGAACCCAATTTTTTTCTCAGAATAATCCTAAGTGCTTCAGTTAGTGTGGACCTGGGCACCGTGGGCCGTCAGAGGAGGGCCAGCCTCGTGGCAGGCGGTGCTGGCGGGAGCCCCAACGCCCCGATGCCCTAACAGGGTCCCGCGGGGAAATCGTCACCTGCGGTGGCCGCACAGAGCCCCGCCCCGCTCCCAGGTGACAGAATTCACAGCCCTGACAGCGCCACGCCGCCTGCTTCTCACCACAAGCCCGTCATCCGGACCCTGTGCCTGAGCATTAGCAGCTAAGCAGAGCTCCTTGCTTTCCTCCGAACCTGTAGGAGGGCTGACAATGGGAGGATGCAACGCTGCGGATAAGCAGGATGCTGCCTGATACACCCCAAACATCTGCTCCAGGGATCCCCGAGTTTGTACGTAGGTAATTCTGTAAGCGGAGTTCCTCAAAAAACAGAGGGAATGGTTATATTTTATGTGAATGCTCGATACTGCCCCCATGTGGAGAATTAGTAAGGATGGGTCTGTGGGAGTCCCTGCATGACCTCAGGTGGCGCTAATTGCTGCCCAGAGGGGATTTAGTCCTTCAGCCAAGTCTCACCATGGAATGGCAGTCTCCTTACCTTTGTAATCACAGAACAATTACGTTGCTCACTGGTGGCTCTCAAAGAGTCTATTATTTGGAAAGGCTTTAGCAGTTTTCTGCATTTACCGGGTCACCGGCTGGCCTTTGCCTAGTTAACAAACAGGTACACACCCTGCAGGTCTGAGCAAACATGTGGCCTCGCGGTCTTTTACATCAAAGACACGGCTGCTGCTCTGGGACAATGTTTACAGCGTTCTCAAATGACACGAATGGACTAAATTGTTTGGAGTCGACACAGTAGTGAAGGTCAAAGAGAAAAACAGCTCAATCATTCTTATCTAGTTCCTAAGTACACATACAAAATACGTTAGAGTGCAGTGAAGAACTTTTAACTTAAAGTAACTGGCAGCGTAGGAATTATGTGTTTAAATAGTGTGGCGGTTTCCCGTCTTATATTTAATACTAGAGGAATCCACGGGCAGCAAAATCTCAGCCATGTGCTGAAGCACTATCTTCACTGATACAGCCCCCAGGGCAATGGAAACTAAGGAGAAAATAAACAAATGGGACTACATCAAAATACAAAGCTTCTGCAAAGCAAAAGAAACCATCAACAAAACAACAAGAAAGCCCACTACATGGGAGAACATATTTGCCAATGTTATCACCGATAAGGGTTTAATCCCCAACATTTACCGGGAACTTATACAACTTAACAAAAGGAAGATAAACAATCCAATAAAAAAAAAAAGTGGGCAACGGTCCTAAATAGATACTTTTTGAAAAGGGACAGAAGGAAGGCCATGAGACACATGAAAACATGCTCAAAATCACTAATCATCGGAGATATGCAAATCAAAACAACAATGAGATACCATCTCACACCTGTCAGAATGGCTATCATCAACAAAGCAACAAAGTGCTGGCGAGGTTGCAGAGAAAAAGGAACCCCCATGCGCTGCTGGTGGGAATGCAGACTGGTGCAGCCACTGTGGAGAACACTATGGAGTTTCCTCAAAAAACTGGAAATGGAACTCCCATTTGACCCAGTAATCCCACTCCTAGGAATATACCCCAAGAAACTAGAAACACCAATCAGAAAGGATATATGCACCCCTATGTTCATAGCAGCACAATTCACCATAGCTAAGATTTGGAAACAGCCTAAGTGCCCATCAGCAGATGAGTGGATTAAAAAACAGTGGTGCATCTACACAATGGAATACTATGCTGCGGTGAAAAAGGAGTTCTTACCATTTGCAACAGCATGGATGGAATTGGAGAGCATTATGCTAAGTGAAATAAGCCAGTCAGAGAAAGATAAATGATCTCACTCATTTATGGAATATGATGAACAACACAAACTGACGAACAAAAACAGATCCAGAGACACAGAAGCATCGATCAGACCGTCAAACCTCAGAGGGAAGGTAGGGGAGAGTGGGGGTTTGGGGGAGAGATTAACCAAAGGACTTATATGCATGTATATGAGCATAACCAATGGACACAGACACCAGGGGGGTGAGGGCATGAGTGTAGGGGGGCAATGGGAGAATAAGGACACATATGTAATACCTTAATAAAGAAAAAAATAAAAAATAGTGCAGTGGTAGGCCTGTGGTGGGGGGCAGGTGCGGGGGGCTCAATGTGGGGGAGAGGAGGTGGGGACATCTGTAATACTTTCAATAGGAAGGATAAATTAAAACAAACAAGAAAAAGATGCCGCTGCTGGCCAGTGGGGGGACCTGAGGGAGGGGTGGAGCAGGGCCGCATGGACCCAGATAAGCACTGGCGTTTGCCTTGCGTGGTCAGGCAGCCTCCCACGAGGGGCCTGTCTGTGCTGCGTTTATCCACCTGCTGGGCTTCTAACTCAGTTCCTTCCATGTGACCAGCACTGTTCAGGTTTCCTACATCCTGAATCTGGTTTATGAGTTTACATTTTTGCTAGGAATTTGCCTTTTTCCAAATTTTCAAAGTAGTTGTTAAAATATCCTCTTGCTGTTTCAGCATCCGTTGTCTGTAAGGAAGTTCTCTTTCTCGGCCCCGATGGGAATTCTCCTCTTTTTCCTCGATCAGCTGCACCAGAGGTTTGTCGATTTTATTTGCATCAATTTCTATTCCTCGTTTTATTTTTTACTTCCTGCTACTTTCTTTGGGTTTACTTTGATAACTTTGTAAATTCATGAGATCAATAGTTAGCTTGTTAATTTTTAGGCAATTTATTCATTTTAGGCAATTTCTAAGCACTTTAGAATGTTCTTATCTCTCTGTTATTGATTTCTAGTTTAACTGTATTGTGGTGAGAGAATAGACTCCACATGGTCTGAATCTGTTCAATTTTGTCAAGACTTGCTTGAATTTGTAAATGTTTCTCATGTGCTTGAAAAATAATGTATGGTTTTTAATGTTTTATACGTGTCAAGTAGGACAAGGCCTTTTTATTTATGTTGTCTAAATACTTTATATCTTTAATTTTTAAATACATTTGTTCTATGAATTACTGATACAATTATACAAAAAAATAACCAGTCTGATTGTAGATTATATTTACTTTGTTTAATTGTCAATTTTTACTCTATAACCTTTGACATTATGTTGGTGCATAGAAAGGTAAAATTATTATCTTGGTCACGAGTAAAACCTTTTGTGAAATGCCCTCTGTAATTTTAGTAATGCTTTTTGCCTTATATTTTATTTGGACTGCTATTAATATAGCTACGCCAGCCTCCTTTGGCCCAGTATTTGCAAGGTACATGTTTTTCTGTCCTTTTTCCTTCAACTTTTCTGCTTAAGATAATTAGTTTTAGAAACTCAGTCTGATGATCTTTAACTTCTAAGCGGAACAATTAATGCAGTTAGTCTCCTTGCGCTCACTGTACTGGCTGATACGTTAATAAAACAGGTCCCCCAGCTGGAGGGGTCTGCTGAGAGCGCTCTGCCGGGCTGCAGACTCCACTGCCCTGCGGGCTTACTCACCTCCCAGAGCCCCACCTCCAAACTGCACCACATGGGGGCTCGGATTTTAACCTATGAATTTTGGAGGGACACAAACGTTCAGTCTATAACACATAGTACATCTCTCCATGGATGGGGGTCTGTGTTGCTTTCTTCAAATAATATTTATATTTTTCAGCCTACAGATCCTACATATACTTTGTTAGATACATACTTAAGTATTTCTTTTATTGGTACCACTGTAAATGGCACCTTTAAAAAATGTCATTTTTTAATTCATTATTGTCCTATATAATAAAGAGGTGATATGCAAATTAACCCTCATGCCCTCACAAGGTGGCTGCCTATGACCAGGCCGGCAGGGAGGTTAGTGAGGGACAACCAAATGACTGAACAAGCAGGCTGCATGGGGCGCCAAGGCCGGCGGGCAGGGGGTGGGCAGTTAGGGGAAACTAGGCCAGTGGGGGAGGGGCAATAAGGGGTGACCAGGTAGGCAGGCAGGCAGTGATCCAGGATACTGAGAGGGATCAGGCCTAGACCGGCAGTCAGACATCCCCCAAGGGGTCCTGGATTGGAGAGGGTGCTGGCTGGGCTGAGGGGACTCCCCCCCCCATGCACAAATTTCATGTAGTAGGCCTTTAGTTAATATATAAAATTACAATTTTTAAATATTGATCCTGTATATAGTGACAACTTGCTAACCTGGCTTAAGAGTTCTAGGTACTTTTTGATATTTTCTATAATCAGAGTTTTACTTCTTTTTTTTTTTTTTTAATATTTTATTGATTTTGTACAGAGAGGAAGGGAGAGAGATAGAGAGTTAGAAACATCGATGAGAGAAAGTCATCGATCAGCTGCCTCTTGCACACCCCCTACTGGGGATATGCCCGCAACCAAGGTACATGCCCTTGACCGGAATCGAACCCGGGACCTTTCAGTCCCCAAGCCGACGCTCTGTCCATTGAGCCAAACCGGTCTTGGCCAGAGTTTTACTTCTTCTTTCCATCTGGATCCCCTTTATTTCTTTCTCATGCCTTATGGCACTGGCTGGGTGCTATGAGACTTCTTATACTTCCATATACTTTCATACTTTCAAACTTTTATTTGTTATCTTCAACCCTAAGATAGTGATTGTTTTATAGCACCTATTTGATAATTCTGATATTCAGTGCCGTTGCATGTCTGTTTCTCTCTGCTGTGAATCAGTTCGCTAGGATTGCCATGATGAAGTACCACAGACTGAGGGCTTAAATAACAGAACTGCTGTTGTCTCGGTTCTGGAGGCTAGATGTCTGAGCTCCAGGTGTCTTTGGCATGGTTAGTTCCTTCAAAGGATTATGATGAAGAAATCTATTCTGTGTCTCTCCGCTCATGTTTCATGTTTGCTGTCAATCTGGCATTCTTCCCCCTGTGCTGCCATCACCCTAATCTCTGACTTTATCTTCCCGTGGCGTTCTCCCTGAGTGTGTGTCTGCATCTCAGTTCCCCTTTCTGTAAGGACATCAGTCCCAGCAGACCAGGCTCACCTACTCCAGTATGACCTCATCTAAACCACTCACCCCTGCACAGACCCAGTTCCCAAAGAGGGCCACATTCTAGGTCCTGGGGGTTAGGACTTCAATACACGAATTTTGGAGGCACACAGTTCAACCCCTAACAGTGGTGCCTTGTTGCCCGATCTGCCTGCTTATCACTGACAGTTTGTCACAGAACCAACAGCACCAATTATTGCTGACGGAGTAACCTGGCGTCTGGGTAGAAGGCACCTTCCTTCAGAGAAGACTGTTTCCTTCTGCAGGTCCCTGAGGCCACCTTCAGTCTAGAAATACTCTGAGCCAAGCTCAAGGCTTGAGAGTCTCTGAATCACCCAACTGATGCAGACACAAGCTGTCCATCCACACAACGGTGACTCACCCTGGTTCACACTTATTCACATTGTGCGGCCCCGCAGGCCCCGCTTGCTGCAGGGAAGGTCTTCTGGGAGATGGCCACCTTGTACAGCTCCGTACTTTACACAGGACCCTCTCCCTCTCTCACTGCGTCACGAAGACATAAAAATGGAACTCACAATTCCCAAGACTGGTAAACGATCTGAGAGCAAAGCTGGCTTCTATGCTCAGGTTTCCAATTTTCTCTAATTCTGGACTCATTACCTCTTACTTTTAAAAAGAATTTAAAGGAATGCTCTTATTTAGAATTTTACATTTTAAATGGAAAGAGGTTGAATAACTTGATTCACTATTATTTGAAAAACAATACTTAGTTATTTTCTTTTCTTAAATAAATTCTTCATGGTGACCTCTGTAAGTACCCCAAACTACAATAGTAGTTATGGATGTAGTTTCAGGATAATTAACTACTTCTTCAAACAGTATTTTATTGTTTAAAATCAGTACTAGTTCGGTGTTCCATAATGTGAAATTTTGCAACTCATTTTTTTTCAGGGTTAATTAAAAACCCCTCATCTTATATCTGTATTTGTGGGGTGGGGGGAGGTACCTATTCAATTATGATAAAAGAAAAGTAGTTCTAACATGGAATAATAAGAAAAAGCAATCTATAATCTACCACAATATATGATATTTATTGAAATGTGACAGAGAAAAAGCAGTTCTAATACAGAATAAGAAAAATCTACTGAAAATATCTAAAAATAATCTTTAATAGAATTAGTATCAGAAGCTAATTGTTAGCAGGTAGAATTTAATATTATTGAAGCTATTTCCCCTGAACAATACTTAAAAATGACTACTAGCATTTTGACTTTAAAGAGAAAGATGGAGACCTTTGCTACCAAAATAAGGTGATTATAAATGGCTAATCTGTGGAAAAGGTACACTGTAGGAAGATCGATGATTTTTAAAGTAAATTTTACAACTCTATTAAGACATAAATAGCAATATATGAGTAGTGGTAAACCAACCAAATGATTGGGTAACTCTGAGGACTTGTTGTCAGGTGGTGATTCATGGGCCTGGCATTTAGCTCTGTAGAGGATATAATAAGGTCTCCTCAAAAAGAACAGCCATAAAAGAGGATTCGAAGGCTTTGTTATTCTATTCTTCTGGACCATCAGGCTACCTTACACTTTGCCAACCTCCTGCTGGTACCTTCAGATGTTCTGGATAACAAATGAGTCCACTGCACTGCTCAAGTCAATCAAACATGGGGACAGGAATGAAGAAAATGACTCTAACCCGCCCTCCACGTCTGAGAAGCAAAGGAGGACCCCCAGCATTGCAGGCCCTCTGGTCTCAGAATGACGGACCTAGGGGATGTCTGAACATGCTGTGAACTGAACCCCCCATTCTCCGGGCAGAGAACCCCGATGGCCTGGTTCCATCAGCCCCTCCCCCTGCCCCACAATCCAATGAGCACTCTCCCCAGAGCAGGGGAAGGGCGCCTTACCTGCGCTGTCCTCCCCCAGGCCTTCAGCAGCCTCCCGGAGCTTAAAGTCCATCACCCGTGTGGAAATCATGGCCAGCTCCCTAAAACCAGATCGAAAATGACATTAAAGAAACATGTTTAGAAACAGTCAGCTAGTATTTCAAATAATTTATACCTATGCATAGAGTTCCAATAAATATAAAATTATACAAATATGTACACGTAAACCTGGCAACAACCCTAGTAACTGTGATTCAACTGGAAACACTAGCTTTTTTAGTGCCCTAATCTTATATAGAAATAGGCAATCAAGAATAACAAAAAGTTATAGGAAAGTCTTTAAGGGAAACACAAAATCACAACAAAACTCAGTAGAAATTTGTGTAATTTTAAAAAATATATTTTATTGATTTTGTATAGAGAGGAAGAGAGAGAGATAGAGAGTTAGAAACATCGATGAGAAAGAGTCATCGATCAGCTGCCTCTTGCACACACCCTACTGGGGATATGCCCGCAACCAAGGTACATGCCCTTGACCGGAATGGAACCTGGACCCTTCAGTCCCCAAGACGACGCTCTATCCATTGAGCCAAACCGGTCTCGGCAAATTTGTGTTATTTTTAATAAAAATTTTAAAACTGAATAGTTATATAAATGAAAGAAAAAAGGAGGATCCATGAATCATTGAATAGAATACTATAAAAAGGAACATGCAAAGAATAAAATGGAGCTCTTAACATTATAATAGAAATTTTGAAAAGCAATAATATTACTGAAACATAGTTGATGAAATAATCAGCAATTAAAATTAAAAGAGGTAGTTTAAATAAATTAGATAATCAATCTAGAGATGCAACATTCTAATAATTTAAGTCTCAGACAGAAAAAATAAAATTTTATAAAGAAGGAAATTATCAAGGTAATAACAGAAGACATTTTCAAAGAATTTAAGGATCTGAACTTGAAAATAGAAAGAGTGGATAGAATAGCCAGAAAATGAACCAAACAAGTTTGTTTGTAGCATTTCTATGTTCTAGAAATATTGAAGGATTCTTGCTATGAAGCATGAATGAAAATAAAGTAAAATATTCAAATGATTAAAAGACACAGAGAGAAAATAAGGAAAATAATTTCTGAAGTCAGCAAAGAAGTGTAGCAAAGCAAAGGGAGGAAAAGGGGAAACACCTGCAATAATATCAACATTAAAAAATACTAAAAAAGAAAGAAAGAAAGAAACATGTTTAACAGAAGTTAACAGTGAGGAAAATGGCGGTGGTGACTGCTTTCTGTCTAGGACCTCACCTGCCCATGGCAGAATATGGGACAGTGCAGCCCAAAAACACATCTATAGCTCAAGATTGGTAACCACACAGGCATTTAAGCACTCGCTGATGGAGCAATTGCATAGAAACCAGATAGCAGGAACAAATGCTTCACCAAGTTAGCTGCAGAATAGCCGCAGAGATGTGGATTCCAGCATGGGGAATGTAGTCAGTGATATCCCGCATGGGGATGTGGGCAAGGTCGGGGCTGGAGGCAGTGGGGGACACTGTGTAGAGTACGTGATTTTCTGGACACTTTGTTGTACATCTGAAGCTAATACAGAATGGGGTTGAATGTAAACTGAAATAAAAAAATATCCTTTTATTTATAGCATGAAGATTTGGTTCCTTCCTCTCTCTCTCTCTCTCTCTCTCTCTCTCTCTCTCTCTCTCTCTCTCTCTCTCAAAAAAAAAAAAAAGGATTTTCAGAAATTATGTTTTTCTCTTGTTCACTGTAGAAAATTTGGAAGATATAGAGAATGAAAACCACTCATAGTCCTACCAACCAAGAGTAATCACAGTTAATGTTTTAATGTATTTCCTTCCCATATTTTTCTATGCTAGTATTTGTATATGCACACACAAACCACATTAGGAAAACTGACTTGCTGATTTTCTTTCTAATTCTTCCTAAGTGTACTGTAATGGCTACATAATATCCTACCTAATAAAAGAGTGATATGCAAATTAACCATCACTCAGCTATAACACAAGCCATGCTCACCAACCATACCCACCAACCAATCAGAGCAAGTATGTAAATAAACCCAACTAAGATGGCTACAGCCACTGAGAGCAGGAGGGAGGCTTGGGTTTCCTAAGCAATGGAGGAAGCCAAGCTTTCCACCTGCCCTGGCTGGCCTAAGCCTCCATTCAAGGCTACAAAGTTTCACTTATAGAAGGTAAACAAATCCAAACATAAACGGCTGCCAGCCACGGAGTGAGCAGGAGGCTTGGCTCTGCTCCAGGCTACAAAATTTCAATTGTAGAAGGTAAATAAATTCCAGATACCAGGGCCTCCACTTGAGTTGCCAGGGGGTGTGGCTGGCCTGCAAACCACTACAGGCCCCTCAATCAGGCCACCCCATGCCCAAGGGAGCCCCCACCCTGATCCAGGACACCCTTCAGGGCAAACCAGCTGGCCCCCACCCATGCACCAGGCCTCTATCTTATCTAATAAAAGAGTAATATGCAGATTGACCATCATTCCAACACACAATAGCTTCCCCGATGTGGTCAAGATGGCTGCCTCATGTGGACACAAGATGGCCACCACAAGATGGCCAGCAGGGGAATGCAGTTGGGAGGGACCAGGCCACAAGCAAGGGCAGTTGGAGGTGATCGGCTCTGTAGGGGAGGGCAGTAAGGGCAGCAGAGGAGGGAAGCTGGGGGCAAACAGGCTTGCAGGGGAGCAGTTAGACATCAATCAGGCTAGTATGGGAGTGGTTAGGGGTGATCAGGAAGGCAGGCAGGTGAGCAGTTTGGAGCCAGCAGTCCTGGATTGTTAGAGGGATCCCAGATTGGAAAGGGTACAGGCTGGGCTGAGGGACACACACCCTGCCCCCTGCCCCATACAGGAATTTCATGCACCGGGCCTCTAGTTTTGATATAAAGCCACATCATCACTGCTTTACATTGTGCTTCTTTTTTGAACTTTTCATTATGAAAAATTTCAAACGGCTACAAAATTGTGAAGAATATATAATGAACTTAACATATGGTTGCTGTAATTTCAACTTCACGCCTTCTCCCCCTCAAACTCTCACTAGGTTATTTCGAAGGAAACCAGTCCAGATATTATCATGTCATCTACATGTACTTGACTTCTTCCTGAATAGAATGCCTCTGGCTCTTCGCAGCAATCACATAGCCCTCGCTGGCCACTCTCCCTGCAGCAGAACATGGAGCTAACGTGTTCTGCCTCCCACAGCTGACTTGTAAACGGCGCACTTTGCCCCACTCACTAACTCACCATTTATTCGGAAAGCTTTCACTTGTTGGCAGTTACCATGAATCCTCACTTAAAAGGGGGCTCAGATGTTTACTTAACCAATTAACATTTCCCCTGGTGCAGAGCACATAACGGGACACTGTTTAACAGCGGAAAGGACTCAGAGGTCTGTGGCCGGGTCTGGCCTCATGTTTAGGTCTCCTTTAATATTAACATCAAAATGTCCCTCTCCCCACCAGCCAATTCCTAAAAAAGATGAACAAAGCTTCATCAGCACCACTTCTCTATTTTCATACCATTTAGCTCCATAAAAACGTCTGCCCAGTAGAGGGGGAAAACCCACATGATCATCTCACCTCCACTGATGCAGAAAACCATTGGACAACATTCATGATAAAAAACACTAGGAATAGAAGGAAACTACCTCATCATAACAAAGGCCATAGACTAAAAGCCCACAGCTTTTATCATACTAAGTAGAGAAAAGGGGAACTTTCCCTATAAAATCAGCAACAAGACAAGGGTGTTCACTCTCCCCACTGCCCCTCAGCACAGTGCTGGAAGTCCTGGTCAGATCAGTCAAGAAAAAGGAGCAATGGGCATCCATATCAAAGAAAAGAAGTAAAATAATCTCTGTTCACACATGACATGATCTTATACGTAGAAAATTCTAAAGACTCCCCCCCCCCAAAAAAAAAAAAACTGTTAGGATACATGAATTCAATAAAGTTGCAGGATTCAGAAGGAACACACAAAAATCAGTTGTGCTTCTATATACTAACAATGAACAATCTGAAAAGATCCTTAAGAACACAATTCCATTTATAATGGCATAAAAAAAAGAATAAAATACTTAGGAATAAACTTAACCAAGGAAAAAGACTTGCACGCTGAAAACTGTAAAGTGTTGCCAAAAGAAATTAAACAAGACACAAAGAAACAGACACATTTCATGTTCATGGCTTGGAAGACGTAATGTTGTGATGATGAATCGATGCAATCCTGTCAAAATCCCTGATTCCATGGTATCCTCTGCTCAGTGACATGACTGGGAGGAGGAGCTACCAGGACAGGTAAAGAGGCCAGAGAAGGGAAAGGAGGAAACGATGAGGAGCCAGCAGGAGAGTGGAAATGGTCAGGACTGGTTAAGAGTCACCAGCCATGGCCCTGGGTACCACCCTCTGCAGTTGCTTCTGAGCTAAGGATGAATGCCAGCACTTTGAATTGCCTGAACTGGAAGTGACTTACCCAGCACACACATACCATCTGAAGAATATCACTTAACCTTCAACAACTTTTAGTTTTCCCGTTTTGGAATTGAGACCATATGTTATAGCAGATAGGTTTACCAACTGGCCCAAAGTAGCGAAGCAGAGACACTGCCCTCAGTCCTCATGTTGGACATAGGTTGGCACAGGCACTAGGTTGAGTGCATGTCCTCATGTTGGATGTAGGTTGGTGCCAGTACTATATGCTGACAGCATGTACTCATCCTGAATGCACACCCACCTTCCGGGCCTGGAATACAGTGATGGATGAGACCGATGTCAGCAGCCTCTCGCAGGCGCTCACCCTGTGAAGGGACAGTCCCGAGATGTCCCCAGGGTGAGGCCAGGGGCCGAAGGCTGACCTTCCCAGAAGATCAGACTGACAGGGTCCCTGGATCTGAGGGAAGGGTTGGCGCTGCTTTGATATGTCACCTAACCCTCCTGAGTCACCTCTGGCCATTTTAACCAAACGCTCCTTGCTGGGAAGTGCTGAGAACGTGGAGTGTGTGTGTGTGTGCCAGCCCTGGGGTGGGCGGAAGGGTGCCCTACCCACTGAGCAG